TCTCCCCTTGAAAGACAGGCCTTTTATGAAGACAACATTGGTTTCATAATGGAGCAACAAAAGGCTCTACTTGAACTCCTTCAACAATCTCAACAAGGCTCTACTTCAACCATTCATCATCTTCATTCAACTACTAACAACATACCAGGTACCTCTGTTTCTCTTAATATACTAGGTAATTCTGACTCTCATACTTGGGTTTTAGACACAGGGGCCACATATCATGTGTGCCTCACCTTGTTACTTTTTACTCATATAGTAGGGATGAAACCTGTTAACATTCGACTCCCCAATAGAGCCTTATTACCACCAAACATTGTGGCACCATTCATTTTACTGATAATTTCTATCTGCATGATGTCCTCTATATACCTACCTTTTTCACTCATTTAATCTCCATACCTAGACTTACCACCAATTTAGACTGCTATGTAACATTTAGCTCCTCTGGTTGTGTCATACAGGGGAACCATACCCATATGATGATTGGTGCAACTAGTTTGTCCCATGGCCTTTACCTTATCACTTCCCTTACTGTTACTATGCCCCATTCCCATACTTGTATTCATCTTAAATGTAACCCTTTTGTTAACATTTGTAACTTATGGCATAGTTATTTAGGCCACCCTTCACATGAAGCTATTACAGTTGTTAACAAAAATTTTCCTTTATGCAATGCTAATAAATCCAAGTTACTTTGTGATACTTGTTTTTTTTCAAACATAAACGTTTATCCTTTCCTGATAGCATCTCTAAATCCCTCTCCCCCTTTGATTTAATCCACATGGATATTTGGGGCCCTTTCCTTATTGCCTCTATGCAAGGACATAAATACTTTTTAAACGCTGTTGATGATTTTAGTCGATTTTGCTGGATATTTCTAATGAAACTCAAATATGAAACCTTCTTTTTAATTAAGTTTTTATATCTTACGTACAAACCCAATTTTATAAAACTATCAAGTGCATTAGGTTTGATAGTGGCACTGAATTCACACTCAAAATTTTTACATGACTCATGGGATCCATCATCAAACCTCATGCACTGATACACCACAACATAATGGTTTAGTTGAACGAAAGCACCAACACCTTTTAGGTGTCACTCGTGCTCTTATTTTTCAATCCAAACTTCCCCAATTTTTTTGGAATTATGCTCTTTCTCATGTTGTTTTTATAATCAATAGATTGCCTTCAAAATTATTACAATTCAATTCTCCTTATTACTTACTGCACAACACTCATCTTGACTATACTACAATGAAAGTCTTTGGTTGTCTTGTATACGCTTGTAGCCCCAAAAGAAACCGTACTAAATTAGACCCTAGATGTGTTTATTTAGGCATCAAATCTGGAGTTAAAGGGCATGTCCTTTATGACACTCACACTAGGCAACTTTTCATATCTAGGGACACAATTTTCTTTGAGAATGTGTTGCCTTTTCATACATAATGTAAACCCAACACCATTTCCAATAAACCCTCCAACAAGTTTCTGATAACTTCCTTTTTTACTTCCTTATTCCACTAAACCATAACAATGACATTATGTCACCCGACTCAACCTTACTTCAACAATCGCATCCCATTTCGTCCCCTTCTTCCACTCCTGCATTTTCCAGCCCTGACAGCTCGCATGATAACCCCCAGCTGCCTACTGCACCTCTTCCAACAAACCTTCCATCTACTCCTACCAATCCCACCATTAGAACTTCTACTAGACCTCATCGACCTCCCACCTACCTTAAAAATTATCATTGTTCCCTTCTAAAGAATGATCCTCTTCCTTCATCTCCGGATTCAGGTAATATTTCTTATCCTATTTCTAAATCATTATGTTATTCCAATATATCTTCATTTCATAAATTCTATAACTTAACCATATCCTCCATAGTTGAGCCCACCTCCTACAAGGCTGCCATATCTAACCCTAACTGGCAGCAAGCAGTTTCCAACGAACTGCAATCCTTAGTCAATACTAACAGTTGGACTCTTACTCACCTCCCCCTAATAAAACCGCTATAGGGTGTAAATGGATTTTAAGTTAAAATATCATGTGCATGGTAACATTGAGCGTTACAAAGCACGCCTCATTGCCAAAGGTTTTAATCAAACCGAAGATATTGATTATTTAGAGTCATTCAGCCCTGTCATAAAAATGACAACCATCAAACTTCTCCTCTTTATTGCCTCCTCCCAAAATTGGTTTTTACACCAATTATATATCAACACCGCCTTCTTACACGGTGACTTAGATGAGGAGGCGTATATGAAATGTCCTTCGAGTTTTAACGTTAAAAACAAAGCCCTTGTTTGCAAACTAAATACGTCCATTTATGGACTAAAACAAGCTAGCCGACAATGGAACCATAAACTTAGTAACATGGTTTTAGATCTCGGTTTCATTCAATATAAATTCAATTACTCCTTATTTACAAAAGAGTCTGCTAATTATTTCACCTGCATACTTGTCTACGTTGATGATCTCATTCTTGCAGGAAATTGTATTGCTGAAATTAACAATATCAAGACTGTTTTAGATGACAAATTCAACATAAAAGACTTAGGAAACCTGAAATATTTCCTAGGTCTTGAGATTGATAGATCCAGCAAAGCCATTACCCTTTGTCAAAGGAAATATACTCTTGATCTCCTTGAATCTACAAGTTTACTAGCTACCAAGCCAACTTCCACCCAATGGATCCGGGTATCAAACTGGACAATGCAGATGATCTGCTACTCACTGACATCACCAATTACAAATGCTTAATAGGTAAGCTTCTTTATTTAACTCACTCTCGACCTGACATTTTCTTTGCCATTTGCAGGTTAAGCCAATTCATTTCAAAGCCCACAAACACTCATATGCAAGTTGTACATCGGGTTCTACGATATTTTAAAGTTGCACCAGCCCTTGGACTCTTCTTCAGCAGCAGTTCTTTGCTTCAGCTCACTGGGTTCACTGACTCAGATTGGGGTGCATGTCCATCAACAAGAAGATCTATCACCGGCTTCCGCTTCTTCCTTGGTTCCAGCTTGATCAGTTGGAAATGTAAGAAGCAGCAAGTTGTCTATACATCATCTTCAGAAGCGGAATACCGTTTGTTAGCCAACACATCATATGAAGCCCAATGGCTTCTATACCTGCTGCGTGACTTCTCCATCTCCCACCCTCAACCAGTTACTATTTTCTTCAATAATTCCAGCGCGATTCATATTAACTCCAACCTAGTTTTTCACGAACATACAAAACATATTGAAATGGACGACCATCTTGTTCGTGACAAACTCTAGGACAAAATCATTCATCTCATGCCCACCAATTTGAAGAACCAAGTTGCAGACATTTTCACGAAGCCTTTGCACCTTGGACCTTTTTCAATGCTTGTTTCCAAACTTGGAATGATGGATATCCATTCCAATTTTGTGGGGTGGGGGGGGGGGTGTCAAAATATAATATATTCTTGTTTTTTCTTTCCTAGTTTTTAGCTGAAAAGTTGTTTCAGTCCTCCTTATTTTTAGGGACTTTTATCTCTGACTTTTGGTTATATATAAGAGGTCTTGTATCTGTATACAGAGTAGAGGTGGAAATAGGTCAGATCAACTAACAAGGGCTTACAGCCTAGCCTACATAGGTCCAGACAAAGCCAGACTTTTTCTTAAATAGAAAATACATAGGCTTTTTTATAAGCCTATTTAACTAAAGAGGCTAGGTCGTAGGAAAAACCTTTTAAGCCTATCAGGCCGGTCTATTTATAAAAAATTCATTAAATTTATTATTATTATATTGTATTTGGTACTTTGAGTTAAAATACGAAAATAAAGCTTAGTTATTTTGAACAAATTATGAAAATAAGTTGAAAAAATATTATAAACAATGTTATAAGTTGTTGTCATAAGTTTTTTTTCCATAAGTTCTCTCCAACAAATAGTATCACCAAACTTATGCTAATAGGTAAACTTGAGTGAGACAATGAAAACAAATATTTAGTCTCAATGATCTTTTAATTTGTTAGTCTACTTAACATTAGTTGAATTTCTTATTTACAAACGTTCAAATGAAGTAGACTTTTAAATAGGCTAGTAGGTCAATCAGGTCTTCGAAAAGGTCAGCCTTATGCCTAAAGATAAGTCTATGATAGGCTACATGCCAGACTTAAACTATATAAAAAATAAATCATTCAGTTTTTTTTTCCTATAGAGATAATTGATTCCAACGCATTAATTCAACAAATATCATTCAATATGTGTAAAATGTCAACTAAGTCACTCATTATGAGACGAAAATGAATACTATGTTTAATAAAATTCATGTTCTCATGCATGAAACAATATTTCATATATGCAGTGATATAAAAAGTTAATAACAAAACTAACAAACAACTATTGACATCATAAAAGAAAATGTAGAGAAAGAGATACAGACTTTTATATATATATATATATATATATATATATATATATATATATATATATATATATATATATATATATATATATATATATATATATATATATATATATATATATATATATATATATATATATATATATATATATATATATATATATATATATATATATATATACATATATATATAATAGTGTTTAATGTTGAATTTTAATATTTAAAAGAAATTAATAATATATATAAACGAATAATGAAATATATTTAATAATATGTAAAGAATCTTCTATATAAGTAAAACATTAGTACATGTTTTGGATTAACATGATATTGTACAAGTGATTACATAAAAATAAATATTGTTGTTCAATAAACTTGGGCTATTGCATGGTAGATAGGAGACACACCATCATTAATACGGCAAAGGAATATGCATTTCAATAAATTAAAAAATTTCAATTCTTTTCTATAAAATAATATACTCCGTATATAATAGACAAAACATTGGAATTTGAGAGAGCATCAACATAATGCACTTCTACACAATTTAAAGTAAATAACAAATTAATAATAATGTTGTGTGAAAAAAACAAATTAATAATGTGAATGTCTTAAAATTGCAATATGTGGTGTCCCATTTTCTTCATCATCTGCATCAGACATTGATGAGTCATCATCAGAATCCTGTTAAGCAGAGGAAAAATCGTTCATTAGTTGTGTGGTTGCAATTTCATAAATCAAAACTCATAATCAAAATATTAATCAATCAAAACAAAAGATGTTAACATAAATAATCAGATGAAAAATAGTTTTGAATTAATTAATAATTAACCTGATGATGATAATGACGCTGGATACTTTTGTGAATGGCTCCCATAGTCCTAATAATTATAAACATAGGTATAATAATTCCACTGGCCCTTAGTATAAAAATCTACAAACACATTAATACATAAAGTTAGAAGATTAATGATTCATATATAAAGTGTATAATTTTCTCTTCTTTTTAAGATTAATAAAACTGGAAACAATCAATTAAGTAGTACTTACTGTAAGAATTGTAAATGGGTAATCTTCCATTCCACTTGTAAGCAAAGCAAAAAGATGTCTTAGAAGTAATATGAGAGTAAACTGCAAAAACAAAAATAATTAGTTAGTTAAACCACTTAAAAATTAGTTTAAATTAATTTCAATTGCTTGTAATTTGGATTGAATTGCTCAATAATTATACATTTATGTAAATTGGACTCATTCCATCATAATCAGACAACTCAAATTTAAATTTAGAAAATTAAAGGACAAATTGAATAGTTTCACAAGTACGGTAAATCCAAATTTCAAATTTAGCAATAAGATAGATAAAACCATTAAAAAAAGAAAGAAGAAAAAAGTGATTTGTTTTTTCTTTTTAATTTGGTGCCTCAAGAAAATACTCTCAAGAGATCAACAAATCCATTTTTCTCTTAAACGAGAATAAATAATCAAACCAAACTAAAGAACATTTGAATTGCTCTTCAACTCGAATTATTAGTCCATAAAAGATAACCAAATTTTAAAATATAAAATATTCATCAGAATCAAAAGTGTCTAAAACTTAAAAAAAAAAGAAGGTTTAAATGGAAAAAAATATATAAAAATTGTTTTATTATAATTTAAATGTGACAAATATTTTATTTACAAATATTTATAAATGAGATCTATTCTATTTGATATATTTTTTTGTCTGTATTTTAGTGTAATGCGGACCAAAGATTTAGGACATCACCTTTTAATATATTTATCCTGCCTTATTTTATTTTTTTCCGAGTTTTTACACGCAAATATTAACATAATTTTATATATTTTTAGATTTTAAAAATGTAGTATCCGCAAACCATTCCATCACGCACTAGATTTTAGATTCCATCCTTCAATTATATCAACCCTGCTCTATCTCTTTTCTGAGAAATTTTATAAATATATCTTAAATGAAGCGACCGAAGATGCCCATTTGTCACTCAAAGAGCGACTAACTCGTGTTAGACACTTTCTTGACTAAAATTAGAATGAGCCAATGGAAGGCAATAATTGCAATCATTGGAGCCTTTGACCCATTAATTATTTTCCAAGTCCATGGTATATAATCATAATTATAAGATGTGGCTAACAAGTACCTTATACTTAGGGCACTAATGATTTTTAAAATGACAAATTCTATATTTACAAATAAAAATAGAAAACCTTACAGCTAAAGCCAGTGATCGACAACAAAACGCGCTTCTATCAGCAGCATAAGCGCATTCAACGTAATTGTTTTCTCTTCTCACACCTTCATATTCAACTATTCTTCTGTTTAATGCTTCTTCTTCTCTCCTTGATATCTCAAGGCTATATCTGTAATTTCCAATCAAAATTAATTCTAATTAAACACATAAACATATGTTGTGTTTTACCAAAAAATTAATTTCAGAAAAATAATCACCTAATGGTCATTACTTCATTAGATTTTTTACATTTCTTTGGTGGTGGTTCTGTATATCCAGGTTGATATTGCTGCAAAAATAGATATTTATATATAATAAATAAAAAATCATCTTTATTATTGATAATTGTGCAAAAACATCATATATATCAGATGTTAAATTGGAATTCACGAATTCGTACATACTTGTAAGCAAATTTCACAAGTTGTGTTTCCTTTCTCATTGCACCATGTTTGAATGCAATCTCTATGAGCAAACTGAAAAAAAATATTGATTACGAAGAAAAATCCAAAATCTCAATGAAAAAAGAGAAAAGCTTAAGGAATTTTGATTTTACCTTAACAGTTCCAGAACAAGCACAAGGAGCTTCTAAGGTTTTGAAGCTTTCAAATTCTTCTTCATGACATATTCTACAACGAGAAAATCCAGAAATTGGTTTCAAATCATCAATGAACAAAACAACTTCTCCTCCCATGTTTCTTAAAACTTGTGTTTTTTTCGTTTTCAAATTTTGTGTCTGCACACTCTGTTTTTCTCTATTTTCCCTTCTCTCTAGAATCTAGGATTTATATAAATTTAAATTTTGGATTTACGATATTGTCCTTGTATATTGCTTTTCAAGAAATTATTTTGTTAATATCAATAAGAGTGAGACTCTTCCCTTTATTGTTAGTTTTTTTTCTTCTTACTATTATTTATTTAATTTATGGAAGAGAAATATTAGAGTGTAACTAAATGAAGGCTAGCTTGAAATTAAGAGTCGAAGAAAATCTCATTTTGGCATGCTTTGAAGCATTGAATTTTGTCAAAATAAATAAGAAAACATACATGAATATATATATATATATATATATATATATATATATATATATATATATATATATATATATATATATATATATATATATATATATATATATATATATATATATATATATATATATATATATATATATATATTTCAAATATCCATTGTAGAAAAAGCACATGTTACTTATATTAAACGGTCTCTTTAGATTATACAATAACAAAATCAATTTTTAAAAATTCTAATTTTTAATTTGATATTACATGCACTTTTTCTTTAAGGAAGTGATATTAATTACTAAAAAGTTACACCCACGATTGTAAATATTATAGTTCTAATTTTAATGATGATGTTTAACCTTACACTCTTTTATAATCGGACATGCTATTACTCTCTCTAAAATGTTTAAAGTTTGAAAAAAAAAAAAAATACTACTTGGGTCTTTAAGTTTTTTTTTTAACAATTCATTTCTTTATAATTTTCTTTTAAAAAAAAGTTTCTCAACGTCGTTTATGTCACATAAATAATTTTTAAAACGGAGTTTGCGAAAAAAATCAATACTAAATATGTTAGTTAACATAAATGATTAAATTGTAGAAAATAAAACAGAAAAAAATAGACTTATTATAATAAATAACTTAAAGACACTTCAGTATTTTTTGCCTTAAAGTTTCACTTATATTTTTGTAACTTTTTTGTTTTGATTCTTACTTCAAAAGTTTGCACCTATATTATGTAATATTGTGCCATCACTTCTCATTAAAAAAATACATTGCACCCTTCTCTTTCAACTCAAGACCGAGCAACTACTTGATACGCACAACTACTTCTTACATGCGCAATAAATAGTATTTGTAATAACAATAATTACAGTACATTCTTTCAAATACAAAATACTCCTAACATGCCACACTATATTTTTTACTAAGTCACATTTTATTAAGTCACTATATATTATTTACACGCACGACTATTTCTTAGATGCACAAAAAATATCAAGGAGTAATTTCAATGGCGGGATCTATAGGTACTCGTGTGCATATCTAAAGAGAAAACAAGTTGGTAGATCTAAAAGAAGTGGAGGGACTTGCGTGCATATTTTAGGAGATTTGAGGAGGAAATTGATAGAGTTCTTCGTAATGTTCTATTAATAATTTTGATAGTGTTTTAAAATTATAAGAAAATATGAAAATGAATATTAATTTTTAATTTTAATTTTAAAAAAAAAAATACTTGTAAAGTATTGCAGTAGGTAATTTGTATTTTGAATTTAAAAATAGGCAATACTTCAGAAAATGTTGCAAAATGAGAAACGGTACAACCTTTAAAAATTGTTGTGTAAGTGAAATCCTGCAATGTTTAAAAAATACTGTTTGTAAACAAAACAATGCAATATTTATCAAAGTGTTGCTGAAAGTATGTGTTTCATTGAGAGTCGTAACCTTATGAAACAATATTAGTTTGATCTATAAATTAATCATTTTGAATTTAGAAAAACACATTAGAAAAATCTATCCTCTTCACACAAAATTTTGGATTTCATCTTTCTTACATTTAAGTTTAAATCGATCTGCTCAAACTCAGTTATAGACTGAATTATCCTAGGTATTCTTTCATATAACCTCTAAATAATTTGAGAGTACTTGAAATATTATAAGAAAATTGATTCATTCACGATTCTAGTCTCAATCCATTTATATTTATAATTAATTTTCAAACAATCTAATAGTAATTTAAATAATGGTAATCAAGACTGTCGTATCAAGAATCAAGAACAATAATCGATATTGTGGATTCGAGTATGTTTTATTGTTTTTCATAAAAAAATTAAGAGTATGTATGGATGAAACATATTAATGAAGAAAAATAATTTTGTGATGAAATTTAAAATAACTTGACCAAAATTCATTGTTTGGATTAAAAAAATATGGAGAATTAATAAAATAATATAATTTTATGAATTATTTAATTCAAATTAAAATTAAGGAATTTCAAAAGACACCAAAAAGTAAAGAATTTGAAATTGCTCATTAACTCCATATAATGCAAATGTTAAATTGTTTATTATTAAATTTTAAAATTTTGCAAGATGGTCCTCATATTTTATGAAAATTTTAAAATTTTACAAGATGTTCCTCATATTTTATGAAAATTTCAAATTCACCTCCAAAATTTTCAAAAAATTGCAATAAGTCTATAATAATTTCCAATTTTACGAATTGGTCCCTTCAAATTTTCAAAAATTTAAAAATGGCCCCTAATTTTCATATTTTAGATTTGACCTAAATAATTTAAAATTTATAAAAATAATCCTAAAAATTTAACAATAAGTCATTTTGATCTTACCAGGCCAGAATGGGATCAACAACCAGTAATGCATCGTGAGCTCCTAGTTTGCCGCTTGTGGTGAAGAGGAGGGGAGTGTACCTGCAAGGTACTCTGATGCCAAAATGAGAAACGAAGTAGAGAGAGAGAGAGAGAGAGAGAGAGAGAGAGAGAGCAAGTACATTGTATAAAATAGAATACCTGACCCTCTAGTGGAAGAGGGTATTTATAATGTGCCCCCAGTGTCTGGCCAATGGTTATTTTGCATTAGGTTGGATCAATAGGCCCAATATGAATAACTGCCAGGATCTACGTGGCGTAGTGAAGATCAACACGTAATCTTCATCCTGGTCCATCTGCCCCGTGATATCCGGAAGGTGGGTGACCTGTTCTTTTGGACTTGGGTAATTTCCTAATGACGTGTCCTCGCGTGGGGAGCACGTGGAGACTGTGGGGAGCATGTGGAGACCGTGGGGTATACGCGTGAGTGTTCCTCGTGTGAGCTGATGGATTAGGCCATCACTGGGCCCTTATCGAAGAGGAGTTGGGTTGGGCCTTGCCTGACTCTGGGATAGCCTCTGGCCCAACCCAGAATAAGAGCCCCCCAAGTCGTTGCTCCGAAGCGTGAGAGTAATGACTTAAGATTCAACTATCGTGTCGAGGATGAGTTATCTGGCGTGTTCCTCATGCTTGAACATGCAGGGTTATCGGAGACCATATGCAGAAACCATTGATTGTGTTTGACAGTGAGTTATGTCCTTGGCCAACGACGAGGTCGGTCATTTGTTCATCATGAGGGCAGGTGCTCGTCTCACGCACACATGGCTTGCTTTCATCTCATTTTCGAGGAGGTGTTCATGGAAGCGCAGGAGTCGGGCATTTTCCTTGACATGTTGGGTGGTACGACGAAAGTGAAAAGGGTTGACACGTCATTTCCTCGAGCCGCGTGAGGGGATTCGAAGGGACGCGTGTGACGTTTTTATGTGCCACATGTCAGAAGCAATGAATGCATACGACGGCTACGAGTAGGGTGCTTGAGTTCTTACGAAATGCCTTGCTTCTTGTGCTAGGGTTTATAAATAGAGGGGAAGGCCAGTTCATTCGCATGTTTCCCTTGTAACTCAAAGAATTTCTCAATATCTTCTTTGCTCTTCTGTCACCCGTTCGCCACCACCGCTATAGCTAAACTCTTGCTCCACCGTCCAACTCTAGACTCCTTGCACAAGTAAGTCCTCTGTCTTTTCCCAACCTTTGTTTTTCGGTGAGTTATGCATTTTCTGGTGGTCTAGCCGGAGAGCCCATGAAGTTCTCAGCAAACTCATGAAATTTCCGGCGAACTTCATGAAGTTTCTGGCGAACTCATGAAGTTTCCAGCAAAACTATAAAGTTTCCGACGAAGACGCCAAGGATTTCATGGGAATTCTAGGAAACTACATGAAGTTTTTGATGAAGGCCTCAGGGACCTAAGATGAAGGTCTCGGGGACAGCTGAGGCTCTTAGCATCCCCGGCGGGATCGATGTTGGGGAACTCTTCTCCTCGGGGTCATGTGATTATCTCGAGGAAGTCCCTAGTCGGGGAGACTTTCCATGTTTGACTGGGGGGAATTTAAGTGCGGAGGAACCTTTCTTCCGTGGAAGGATGTTTCGTGTTCTATGGTGAGGAGAATCTCCTCTTAGGTGTGCACTTTTCAGCGTGGTGCCTTCTATCGAGGATGTTAGTCGAGTATTTCCTTGTCCTCTCTCTTCGCCCTTTCACTTGACTTGCAGTGGAAGGGTGGATTTGATCTTAAATGTCGAATTCACCAATTTCCTCTTCTTTTTAGGTAAAATGGTCGTAAAGCCCGAAGGCACCAACATGATCGATGATAAATTCGAACTCGACGCAGTTAAAGAGGAGGATGAGGTCACGTAGCCCCGCTCGCTGTCCGATTGGGTCGGGCAGGAGCCTCCTAGCATCGCCTCAGGCTTTGCTGTCGATGATTCGGACGCCTTCGTGATCGTCGAGGATCTCGCCGAGGGCCCCCCAGCGAATTGGATGGTCTACAAGCCCAGGTAGAGCCATTGGATATGCTCGTCATTTAAGGGGACGCAGTTCCCTATGTATGAGTTCACGTTTCGGGAAGCAGGGCTTCATCTGCCATTCATCGACTTCCAGAATTGGGTGTTCCAGTGGTTAACTTTGGCTCCTTCACAACTTCACCCCAACGCGACCGCATTCATGCGGGCGTTCGAGCTCGTGTGTGAGTATCTTTGAGTTGGTGGCACGCTCCCCTTGTTCTTCCGCACCTTTCATCTTCAGTGATAGTCCTTCCAAGGTCGACATAGCTGTTGAGGAAGCTGTT